GAGAGAGAGAGAGAGAGAGAGAGAGAGAGAGAGAGAGAGAGAGAGAGAGAGAGAGAGAGAGAGAGAGAGAGAGAGAGAGAGCGGAGAAGGAGAGAAGGAAGAGGGAGGAAAGGCGGAGCCTTTCTCCCTGATACCTGAATGGTCGTGCTGTCCCTGCTGATGTCCGCTGAGGCCGAGCCTGGCGCTGCAGTGCTGGGCGCTGGGCGCTGGGCTGCGGGCTGAGCCAGAGGGCCGGCGCTACTCGCTGCTGCTGCGCTAATCGCTGTTGCGCTAATCCTTCTCTCTGCTGCGCTAATTCTCCCTGCTGCTCCGCTATGCCAACCGAAACGCTGTACTAACCTAACCTGCTGAGGCTGGTACCCAGCTGATATAACGCTGGGTCGGCCTCAAGGCTGCTGGTACCTTCGGGTCTGGACCGTTGATCAGCCCCAACGGTTCAGATCCGTTACCGAAAACTGGAAGTGGCGCCTAAACCTGGCTGCCTTCAAAACTGTGCCGCCGGTAGGTCCTAGCGTTGGACCGGTACCGGCCTGGCCCTTGTGACCGTTGGCCTACTCGGCCTCTGGGCCGACCTATGGGTCTGAACCGACGTGACCCCTGACTCTAGGCCTAAACTAGCCTAACTACAGAACCGGGCCCTAACTGGGGCCCGTGTGATGTCAGCATGCCACACAAGATCTGATGGTGCCGGGTCTTGAACACAGGAAGGCCCTTTATCAGGCTGAATAGTTAGGGGCTGCGTAGCATCGCATTCGGGCTCGGTGACCGAACCCCAACGCTCGGTACCGAGCCCGAACATTTTTATTTCATATTTTTTTGTATATATATTATATATTCTATATATATATAGGGGTTGGGGGGGCCCTGGGGGGCATTGCTCATCACTCCTGAACATACACACGCACACCACACACATGCACACACACACACCACACACATGCACACACACACACCACACACATGCACACACACACACCACACACACACCACACACACAGCCCACACACACTCCACGCACCACACACACACGAGGACGCGCTCGGCAGCCCTCTAATTTGTGCTCGGCCGAACATGTTCGGTTCCCGGTCGGCTGAGCGCCCGAACATGTTCGGCTGCTCGGTGAGGCGCCAAACATGTTCGGTGTGCTACACAGGTTAGGGGCCTTATGACCTATACTGAAACGGTTTTCACCTTTTAGCAGTAGCGGATGCAGTACCCAGGGTTCAATCCCTAGACCTCACCCTACCTATGTACAGTATCTGTATAGGTCCCGAGAATTGAACCTGTGACCTGTGTATTCGCAGATAGCTGGTAGGTCTGTCGTAGGTCCAAAGGC